GGAATGTGGACATGGTACATTCCTAGACATTCGCCGGCGTCATAGTCTGCATCCTCAGTGAGCCTAAGCATTATTACTACCACACTACAACTTGTCAGAAAGACAAATGAATTCGATGCCTTGAACAAATGTCGTTGTATCTCACGTTTCCTGGTGCATTTAGCTATCCTGAATCCTTGTATTACCCCTTCGCTATCGCAATTTCTTAGTGAATCAGTCTTATTAAATCAGCTCAAAACAGCACACCTGAACTAGACTTAAATAAGCAAATAAGACATTGTGATAGTAAAGGTGTGTTACGAAGATGTAGGATGTGTGAATACACCAGGAGAGAAGGGGAGATACCGCCACTGTCTAGCAGACAATTGTTCAAAGGATCAACTTTTATCTTTGACGAATCGTAGTGTGGTACTAAGAGTTACAAGGCTCATTGACGATGCTGACTACGATGCAGGCGAAGCGTCTGGGAATGAACAAAGTCCAAGATTCGAGTCTGGAGATTACCATGGATACTATAGACTCCACGAAAAGTGCGTTCCTTTAGGTCTCTCTGACAAAATGAACATATTACGAAAACAACTTCTATTCAATGGAAGGAGACAGCGACCATAATAAAGACCATACAATCTTGACCTTAATTCATTTTTTTGAATTTATTTTGTCTGACAGAAGCTGTGGATACATTTTTTGCTTTCGCACTTATCCTATTTTTCTTATATTCCACGATTATTTCGACCTGTATAACTGAAACGCATAATTGGATGGGCGACCCAGCTTTCAAACAGCCTTTAGTATGTATCTTTCCTTCTTCTTTCCTTTCGCTCACCCTGCCTAATTTTCAGTGCATTTTACCCGTCCGCAAGCAAAATATCTGGTTTCATGCTAAAGAAAAGATTGTATAAGAGCGAATATGAGGACTCGACGATATTCCGGAGCAGGAAAGAATGCATGAGCAAAAAGCTATGCCTTCTAAGCACTTCCAAGGATTCATTTCTAAATTCACGTCAAACACCAGGTTTTACACTTTAATTATGACATCTCAGGTATTGGCTTCAAAAATAATCTTTCCTCTGTCCCTTTGACATACGGAATACATGCCAAAGGATCTTTCCCCAAGGTTAGTTTGCTCCAACGACGAGCCTTATGTTTACAAAGAAAGCTGATGCCTCGGATTTAGTGAGTTCGATAGCAAATTGTCGTAGTTATCTACACATACCATAACACTGTACAATAATTGTTAAATCTTCACTGCCAAGGCCCAACTCTCCTCGATTTTCAGGGTTAAGACCTCCGGACGGGAAATTGAGGTGGACAATTATAGTTGCCTTTTCAATGAACAAGATACAGCAAAATGAAAATTTTTATGCTTGCTACTTGTTGTACATTCTTGCGAAAGTTTTTAATCTGCAAAATTTGCCATATGATTAATTGTCAATACACGATGATAAGAGTAGCCTCAAAGATAGTTCTAACCTGGAATTTCAGAGTTGCTGCTTGTGCAATATATAATCGGTTATTTAAATTCTGCAAATTTTAATACAAATCTCAATTTTTATAATATCTTCATCTTGTACTATTGACTATTTTTATTTTTGAGTGAACCTAAGTTTCGCTCATATCCGAGTAATTTAATGACTTGTCACATGATTTGTAGAAGCCTCCCAAACCGTCTTAGCTAGCCGAAATTCATCCAATTTTTCAAAAATCAGCTATTATGTGGGTAAAGTGAGAAAGATACACATTTTTATTAATTAGGATGGATTGTTTCCATAATATGGAATTGTACTTCTATTTAAATTCGTCTTCCTTTCCGGTATTTGATTGTTAATATTATCACGAAGTATTAAACGAAAGGGCCTTCCATTATGCTTTTGACGTCTTATTATTGTAAGATAAATAAAATCTTATATGCCTTTACATTCACTTCTAAGAAAAGTAGACCAACCTTCTTAACTCTTTTTTATTTTATAGTATGAGAGCATTAATCATATGGTATGACAGACGAAAGATTAGCCCGTTTACACGGTAAAAGAAGATGTAAGCCTAATCTACTGCTTAGACAAAAATGAAAGTAAAACAATCACCTGTCGAGCAACTGGAGACCACCATTTAATTCTGGTAATGCCGATCTATGCAGGTCTTCATCAGGCACTTCAATTGCAAATAAAAGCCACAAAAACGATGAATGTTTAGTATTAATATTTTTTCGGAAATTTTCCCTAAAATTTATATTCCTTTTAGAGAATGGCGATGATGCAAATTGTTCTGCTTAAATGAAAATGTTTATTCTCCGTAAAATTCTGTAGTTTATAGATATAGGACTAAAATAATGTCTTCCGCATCCATGTAAACTTACTCAACGGTTTTTCTTTTTATTGAGCCATGGCGACGACGGGCTACTGGAGGATCCAGCATATTTAAGTGACTACTTTGCTCCGGCTGTCCAGCCTTAGCGAATCTTTTTGTCGGAAAGTAGGCCCTCAGACAACCGGTAATTGGCTCTCCATCATAAAATTTATCTTTATCTACTAAAATCAGGTTCTGTCGGCCAAGAAAACAACAAGATAAACGTCATAGTAAACTTCTCGTAGCAATGCCAACTCATCAGATAGGGGTAAGGCTCTAAAATCATATAATTAATGCCACGCTTAAATCAACGGCGAGACTAGCTTTTATATCGTATGTAAGTAGACTTTCGAGACTACCAGTAAATCAGCTTTTTTCTGTTTTCCTCATATGGGCACCCATTTTTTTTCTAGTAAAATAAGTAGGTGTTGGACATACATTTAAAGGGAACTGTGTCGTGTCTCTTGCGTATGGCTGTTGAGCTTCACAGGTGAAGGCAGTATTTTTTTGCCTAATAAGCACAGGGGAAAGGAGGCTTTTATTACTTTATGCCTCATACATCTTGCAGCTATAATGCACAAAAAACCTTTGCAACCATAGAGCGCTTATGGAATTTAGGAGCTTCAATAAATGGGCCTCACGATACCATTGAATTTTACTTAGAATTTTCTTCCAATAGGTCTTAGGTCCCAGGAAGGAATGCACTTTCAATCGTTCCTATGCCTCGTAAAGTCTACCAATATTAATGTGGAAAAACTTCAAGAATCATATCTTAAACTTGTCACTTATGTAAGAAGTGTATTTGCTGTATTTCGTTTAACGTTATACGGGGAATGGTAGTTAAATTTTCTCGAGGTGATATGAGTAGACCTTACATTTCCAATGGATTTCAAATAGACTTGCTTTCCCAATAGGTATTCTCATCCAGGCTGGACTGCAATTTTGACCTCACCAAGGTTGTATTAATATCCCCAGCAGGACACGAAGCATTAAAATGTAATCTCGACACGATGAACACTACGCCATGTTGTCTCGATTGCCCTTTGGTCACAGAAAAGATGTGAATTTCAAGAAAGTTATTTTCCTATATCACATTCTGTGGTAGGACTTTTGATCAGGCAAAGTCTTATTTGCTATAGCAAATACATAAGTATAAATAGGCTTTCGAGACTACTCGAGGATAATATATATGAGGTGTGTTCATCCTATTTAATTCAAGGTGATAAAGGGAGTGGTAGTCGAATTGTCCCAAAATGCTATATGTAGACATAGCCTTGCTTTGCCAAAAGGTATTTTAATGCAGGATGAACTAAAATTTCGATCTCGCATAGGTCTTATCAACGCTCCCAGTGCGATTCGAACCATGAAAATGCCTGAAACGAACTGGAATGAATGCAGATACGAAGACCAAGATGTTTTGGCCTCTATTTTTTTCGCAGTCTCCTTTCAATGTATAGTAGTGGTTTGACCTTGTTTTTGCAAAATGGGAATGTAGCAAGTTCATTGTCCGACTTTGGAGATTATCATGCATACTATGTACTCCAGAAAGGTGTGTTCCTCTGGGTATTTTTGCTAATATGACCAAGTTGCGAAAACAAGGTTATACAACTACTATAGAATGAATGCACCTCATATATACATAATCCACTGGTAGTATCAAAACCTACTTAAAATGAAACATAAACTATTCAATCCGGCTTAGAATGACTAGGTTCTTATACAAAAATTGCTCATATCCTCGAAGCGTACACATCCCGAATACCGCTAGCTTCGTCGATGGTTATGGCAAATGCATGTCTGCCTCATCGTCGATCCTTTTATAAAAGTGCCAGTTGGAAGTTGCATGGCTTGCCTTGAGTGTCTTCTGCCATGACTGGCATCCATGGATGCATGAGGTTGTATGGTGAAGTTGTAACATGTAACATGTCGCCACAGTGCGTACGACTCGTTGGAAGTGATGATGAGATTAAAGTGAGGTTGAGAGTGCCGTCCGACATGCAGTTGAGAAACTTTTAGGATAAATGAAGAGTAACTGGGATTGGCTTTTTTTGTTGTGAGTATCTATTGCGTATAGAATGAGTTCATGCTCTGGCAATGCCTGTTATGAGATATGACGGACGTAACAAGAGAGGATGTCTCGTGGAATGCGTCAATCTGAATGTCACATTAAAGCAAAACGGATTCAAAACAAGGGGAATCAACCACCTACAAATCTATTAATTCGGTAATTTCATACGAAATAAAAGTCTTCACAATGTACATTTTGAATTCGAGGGTAGGTGCGATTCAATGGAATCGTGGGGTTCACCGATGTGAGTGTCGGAAAGCCATAACTCACCTTACTCGAACGGAAGTGCTCAAATTCTGATTGTAAAATTACCGACAGTTTCGAGATATTATGCAACCGATGCCATGTTTCATGATACTTGATATCAGAAGTAGTATGTTCAGAAGAGGTGAAAGATCGATCCAGATTGACCTTTCAAAATCGCCTTAATTTGGCCAGTAATGCGTGTCCGTTTGCAGTCGCCTCGGGTCGTCTTGTAGCTCTGTGCAGACGACCGGTACCACAGTCGCACCGTTCCTGTCCTCTTGGTGGCTCCAGCTGCAAGATGAAGATGACTCCGACCCGACGAGAGCGACGCAAACGAGATGACTACGCGCCGCGATTCATCCACGTCCAGCCGGACGTCAAGGCCTACACAACCGCCAGTCGGGATGCACTCGGTCGGATGGAAGGCTACATCCGCCAGTTGGCCTCCGACCCGAAGCTCTACATCACACACGAGTTGGGCGAGAAGATTCAGGCGCTGGCGGACCAGACGGCAATTCTGAAAATGGACAACTTTCTGATGCAGGGCGCCTCCGGCGCCTGGCGCAACCAGTTCCCCATGCGCCAGTTGGTCACGGAGAAACAGAGCCTGCTATCCACGGCCGGGAAGCTGGAGGACTCTGACGGTCAGTTGGTGCGCCGCTTCATCACCAACATGACGCGCGGCCGGATCGCCTGTACCTCCGAACAGTGTGCTCGTGAAGAGCTGTCGTCGGGCAATTCTAGTTGCCAGGGCGTCGGATGGACCGACTCTGCAGTTCGGTCAGCTCATGCCTGGGCCAATCAGGAACTCTCGGGTCTACACTTTGAGCTGGAGCCTCTCGTCGACGTGGCTCGCCAGCGCACCACCCAGTACCTCGACGAATTGGGCGTCACAGACCGTTACCTTGGCTACCGAGCCAACCTGGGCTATAGCGGACGTCGGGCGGGCTTGTGCTATCCCAACCCAGCGGGTCGACGTATCGTGGATGACGGCAGGTCTGATGTGGCGCCACGTTGGCAGATGCCCATCGTCTGGGAGCGCGCCAATCAGGTCGGCACCAGAGGCTACCAGCCGGAGCCGGACTCGGAGCATGAACTGGAGGGCTGGAGTCGTGGCCGGTCAGAATCGGCCGGCCAAACGGCCGGGGCTGGTGGGCAAAACGTCGAGTCGGGCGATCTGTATCCGTCGAAATCGGAATACCAAACCTCTTACATTCAGCCGTTCCTGCACGACGCAGCAACCATCCGAAACCCACCGCCCGGAACGCATCGGCATCGGCTGGAGCAGCCGGCCGACCTGCGCGGCCGGGGCAACCTGGCCGCTTTCGACTCGTCGATGGTGCACTCGAAGGGCTATCCAATCAACCCGAAGCCCAACTTTCTGAGCCACATGCGCGAGCCCTCCAATCAAGCCTCCACCGCTGCCATGGCTTCTTTCGCCAACGCCAAGTCGGAGATGAAGGATAGCTATTCATGGTCGGAGATGAAGAAAAAAGGAAAAGGCGAGCTATCAGCGCCACTTAGTGCTCACGTCTGATGAGACCAATCGGGCTTCTATTGAAGATCTGCTCCAAGCAGCATTGCTTCTTGACAATAATGACTTATTTTTGATAAAAATGGCCGAAAATAATAGCTTACCTTGGGGCAAGTAGAGCTCGAATACACTAACTGGCC